TAAAGGTACAATTCCCAATGAGAAATGTAATTGTGTTGTATACCTACAATGTACCAATAAAAGAATTTAATACAAAAAAAAATGCATGTGCTGTAAGCATGCTAAACAATACTTGTATCTTTAAATTTCAGCAACAAAAATCAGTCATTTGTACACATATTCATGATGTGAAAATCATCAGACTGGGCATAATGAAAATCAGACATTGGATTACTAAGAAATTATAAACTCTTTTTCTTCTTTTTGATCGTTTGGCACTAGGTTTGAGCTTGTGCTTGTGAGACTAAGACATCTTAGCTGCAAACAGATGTCTGAGATCCTTCAATAAAAACAAAGGCAGTTTAAGAAAAAGGGAATGACTGGGGTCGATCGATAATGACTCTAATGAACAGAACTCTGGGGAGCATAATGATGTGAATACTTATTTGCTCATATATTCATTTTTAAAGTGTTTACTGAGCATCTACTATGAGCTGAACACAATGCCAAGCTGGGGGAGAAAATGTTGAGCAAGAGAGGCATAGAGACTGCCCCCAGGAGGCTCATAAGGAATGATTCCAATGATGGTGCTGACATATCTAGCAGAAACCTCACTGATAGCAGACAAACAACATGGAGTTGTATCTGGGAAGAAGCACCTGGTTCTGAAAAGTCTCAAAATCTTCTTTCCCTGAAGCATCACTTGGTCCACTCATACTCACCAGGTGTGAAGGGAAGGTGGGGCTTTTCCTGATACTGACCACGGCAGACCAATATATCACCAAAGTTAACTCCACAGAAATGGACATCAACTCTGACCTGCAAAGGAAATACAGCAGCAACACAGAGAAGTACACATCCTGAAAACAAAGTTCATTATTCAATTATTCAAAAATATTTCCTGAATGAATGACAACTATATGCCAGGTGCTGAACTAAGAGCCGGAATGAATCATGAGGCAAAATGGACTAAGTTTTTGTCTTCATAGAGTTAAAAGTATAGTAGAAAAGACAGACATTAACCAAATAATAATGAACCTATTTGTGTTAAATTACAACTCAACACAAGAATGGGGGTGCCAAGAAAGCATATAATGGGAGGATTTGACTTCCTGGGGAAGAAAAAATAAGAATACCAAAGTTAATAACAGTTAAGAGTTAACTATCCAAAATAGGAAGGGGAGGACTAGCTCAGTAGTATAGCACTTGCCTAGCATGCATGAGAACTTGGGTTTGATCCCCAGTACCAAAAAAATGGGAGAAGCTCTACACAGACAAAAGCAGTGGCATGTGCAAATGCATTTATCAGGGACAAAAGAAAAACCAGTGAGTTTAGAGTATAAAGAAGAGAGAGAGAAAGAGGAAAGAGAGAAGGGGCCACACCACATCAGGGTTTGTAGATCTATATTGACCTTCAAACTAGGACAAAAGAAAACCACTAAAGGGTCCTAAACAGAAGGGTACATGATGAGCTGTTTCTGGGATCTGGAAATCTGAAGTCCAGACTGGATCTCCAGCTTCTGTGTCCATGGCAACACCACAACTGAGATAGAACTACAACGGCATGGCCAGCAGTCTCTCTAGACACTGTGAGCCATCCTGGACCACCTAGCATCAGCATCACCTGGTAAGATGTTAGAAATTCTAATTCGCTGGCCCCACCCCTGCTAAACTGAATCAGAAACTATGGAGGCAAAGCCCAATAATCTGTTTTAACAAGTCCAGGGGACTCTGCTCCATGCTAGAGTACCTCTGTGTAGAGGACAGATTCCAACAGGGGTTGGAGTCACAGGAGGAAGTGAAGGCTGAGACACTAAATCAATGATATTTGTATAAATTTATACAGAGCTGGCCATATTTGTAAGAAGGCATTTCTATCTGCAAAATCCATTCATTGAGTAATTTTTTTTGAAGCACCTACCACATGCCAGGCACTACTCCAGATTAGGAGGACTTCATGGTGAATAAAAATAACATAATTGCAGCTCTGGTGAGCTAATTCCTTACAACACAATGTCTGGACAAATAACAGAACAAACGAGCCCAGCTGTCAGTCTTTGAACACTGGAATCATGACACATGAGCTGCTGACAAACGCATGGCACACATGCATCCTCAAGTCACCCACCTTGATTCAAGAATGACTCGAGGATGAGCTCTCTCTGCGTGTGGACGTCAGGAAGCATAAAAGCTGCCATCCCTGTTCCTCCAACTAATCCCTTTTAGCCACAGGCTCCGTGTTGGCGACCTTAAGGCTGAAGCTGCACCACCCTTCATGGTCCTCAACACTGCCGCACACGCACTGCCTGCTTCACCCTGTGACAGGACGTCATTCTCCGCACCAGATGACACTCATCACCAGGGTGGTCAACAGGCAAGGCCAAGTGACTTCCACATTTCAGTGGAACCACCCCAAATCCCAAACTAACCCCATCCCAAATCCCTGCAGGACACCATGAGAGGGCGTAAGACACATTCACACGGAGACAGAAGCGGGGTGGGGAGTTCGGGAAAGCTTGGGGGAGTGGGAAAGGCAGGTAATTTGACACTAATGCTGAAGAGGAATGAAGCAAAGAACAGGGTACGTTGATCTGTATTACATCAATAACTTGCGGGTGGTTATGCAAAGTCGTGTGCAAATCAGAATTCTCTGTCTCTAAGGCAACAGCTCTGGAGCCTTCGGAAAGAGGCCTACACGTATGTTTGGAGGAACAATCTTCCTGGAGCACCTTTGACGCTTTTGTGAACTCTGAAAGGTCTTTGACCTTCTAGACTAGGTCCTAGTTGCGCTCCAGTCTCCCGGTCACCCCATAGCTTGGGAACTGGGAACAGAGGCAAGAAGCCTCCGGCCTGTGTGGAAGTCCGGGAGGATTAAGTGGATTTCTCGGAGTTCCGGAGACAGGCCAGCCACCCTACCTCATGAGGCAGCACAGGGCGTGGGGCCACCTGTCCGACGACTAGAGGCTTCTTCAGCTCGGCGCAAAGCGCGGCGCGGTAGTGCCGGCCTGGGCCCCGCATGGCTCCCCTGTAAAAGGCAACAGGGCGATTTACCCGGGCCCGCCGCGGGAGACCCGGGACTGCCAAGGGGGCTACGGGAAGAGTCGAGGCAGCACCTGCAGAGCCAAGCCCTAGGGAAGCGGCGCCTGCAAATGTGCGTAGCCATGGCCCGGCTCGTCGCAAGAGTGCGCGTCCTGAGCCGGGCGGAAGAGCCGGACAGCGCCGGCCACGCCCCGGGAAGGGCGGGCCCTCTCGCCCTCTAGCCCTCTCGCCCTCCCTCTCTCCCAGGGTAGGTGCGGCTCCACTGGCTCCACTGGCTCCACTGCTCCATCTCTCTATATGGAGATCGTGGCACCACTGCTCCCTCTCTGCATCGCGGGATGGAACTCAGGAACTCAAGACCTGGAGAGAGAGCGAGAAGAGAGAGAGAGAGAGAGAGAGAGAGAGAGAGAGAGAGAGAGAGAGAGAGAATCGAACTCAGGAGCTTGTACTTACCAGGCAGGCGTCAGCTCCACTCAGCTCCATCTCAGCTCTCATCCTCTCACTTTCTCCAGTGAGCTACCTCCCCATTCTCTCCGTCTTACTCTCTCACCTGATTAGTATCCATTGAAGGGCTGCTGCTTGAGGGCATGCCGGGAGATTGGTATTAGGTGCAGGCCTTTGCTTGAGAATTTTCAGACAGCAGTATTTCAAAAGCCTCGCTTCAAAATCTTTCCTACTCCGAGCCAACGCTTCACCTTCTGGGGGCGCAGTTTGATAAGAATATGGCCCAAAGCATCATCACAGAAAAGCCTGGAGCAGCAACAAAACTCCTATATCAAGTGTACATCGCTCTTCAGAAAAAGAAAAAGTGGCCTGACTGGTGTACAAGTACCAACCTCACAGACTGTGGCAATCTTAGAATTTCAAAGCACAAAAAATGAGGCTTCGGAGAGCAAGGTTTCAAGAGAAGATGACAAAATGAAATCATGCCCGAAATTGAGGCAGGTATCACAGATTCCTAAACCTCCCGCCAGTCACACTCTGAAAGCCCTTGAGGCCCCAAAAATGATGAAAAAGCAACAGGAGGCAGCGGATGTCGCTGCTGATGAGATCATGAAGTTTGAAGCATCAATAAAAAAGGATCTCCAGGCAAAAGAAAGTGCATCCACGCCTGGTTTAGATACAGCAGACCGTACAACTACCAACTTCTTAAACACTTACTCAGATGATGACTACATTTTAAAAAATCCAGAAGCGCCTACCAAAAGATAATTTTGCAGGAGAGCAAAGGGAGAAAAGAAGGCGGAGGTTGTTGATGGACCAGTTCATCACCCAGGAAGCACAGGAGGAGGCTCACCATGAGGAGCTGCTAATACACAGACTCATGCAACAGTCCCAACAAGAGCCCAGGGTTGCTGTGCAGCCCATGAACATTCAGCATGAAAAGGAGGTTTTATGGCAAAGAAAAATTTTCAGAGAAAAACAATATGAGGAAAGACAACTTAAAGATTATCAGGATGCTCTTGATGGAGAAGCGGCTTTGGCAAAAGAAGCCAAGATTGATTGTGAAAACCAAATCCTCAGAGAGAAAGAAGTTCATGACAGACTGCTGTGCAAAAAGTTCAGGCTCGTTATAGAAAGCATTATAAGATATGCAGAGAAATTTTGGATCAGATACTTGATTTGTCCACTAAAGTGGCAGGCTATTGAATGTTGACAATCTAATTCCACTTAAGATGATGCATGATTGAAAGGAATTCTTTTTTCGTGGAAAGCCCACATATGAACAAACCTCTATTAAGCGTATGCCTGCTAATCCCTCTGAAGAACAACTTAGAGAACTGGCTAAAACAGACTTGCTAGATAGCTAAGATTATGAAGAATATAAGAACATGTTTGGAGAGTGGGCTGTACCAGAAGGAATGATGGATAATTTACCACCCTCCAGCAATTCCATGCTGGGCTTCACAGACTCATTGAAAACTCTCTTCCTCTTCCTCAAGTTGAGCCAACAGAGCCTGAACTGCCTTCATTTGCTATTAAAAGATGCTTACTGGGAAAAACACTTAGTGGGAAAACTATCACTTTAAAGACTCTACAAAGAGAGTTTCCTATTCAGGTACTTTGTATGGGCACTCTTGTCCAAGAAGCTATCCAAGGGTTTTATGACAAGGAAAAAGTCAGTGAGGACCTACCAATTCAGAAAGAAGGTGGAGAGTTTCCATCAGATCTGCAGGATGGCAGTAAAGAAAGCTGGGACTCACATAATGTATCTTTAGATGCTCCAGTTTCAGGTGAACCATTACCAGAAACAGAAGGTGAAACTACATCTAGTACACATACTAATAGAACACCAAAAACTGAAGAAGTCAAATCAAGTGATAATGATCATTTTGCTAAACTCATTGTATGTGCTCAGCTTGGTGCAAAATTGAAACAATTTCTGAAGAACGAAAAGAGTATTCCAGGCACGTTATTAGTTAACATCATAGTATATGCTATTAATGGGATGCCTGTGAATCAAGGGTGTATCCTTGATGGTTTTCCAATGACATTAAACCGAGCACAGCCTTTAAAGGACGCTCTCACTGGCTGCAATAGAAATGGAGGCAAAGAAAACACAAATATCCACATTGGCTGTGGATCCTACGGCTTCAAAAGAAGTACCTCTTCCTCTTCTGCATGTGGTTTTGTCATATTACTAGATATTTCAGATACTTTCTTGTTGAGTCACATGAATGATATCAAAGCTGAAGAATTTTCACATGAAATGGCTCACAAAGATATTGGTCAACAAGGCGCTCCTGAAAACCAAGACACACATGGGTACCAGAACTTAAGAGATCTCATACAGAAGAGAATGATGGGCTTCTTGGACAACTGGCCTTTGTTGGAAGAGTGGTTTTCAGAATGAGAAAATATTTTGATAAAAATCAATGCTGAAATAGATAAAGAGCCTTTATGCCAGAAACTAAAAGAAATGTTTGCAACAGAGGTAGTGAAGAAAATAAAGGTAATTACATTTATTATAATTTAAGCTTGGATTACTAAAATATGTGCTTCTATTGACACTAGAAGGAAATCAAAGTGTGATTGCAAAGTTCTCTCGTATTTGGATTGAGACTATCTAACGGTGTATTTTACCTTTTACTGTAGCTTTCTGCTGCATGTTTCTGAATAACATAGCCTTTTCTCTCCCTTTTAAATGAATTTTGTAGAAAGTGATTATCACACTGAAAGCACTGAAGAGAACTGTATTCTTTTTCTTATTATAAAATCAACTGTAGGGCTGGGGATATAGCTCAGAGGTGCCTCCACCTGCCTTGCAAGCACAAGGTCCCAAGTTCAATCCCTGGTACCCCCCCCCCCAAAAAATCAACTGTAAAAGTTTTGGAAAGTACCTAAAAAATATAAAAAGTAAAATAGGCATCATTGCACTACTTTCATTTTAAAAATAAAATAGTTAAAAATTAAGAATGTTAAACACATTATATACACTGAATATATACAACCTCTATTTGTCAGTTAATATCTTTATATTAAAATTAAGGATGTTATAGAGAAGAATAAAGATTTAAATTTGTTAACTTAAACAAAATTTAAAACTAAGTAGACCGTTGTTACAACTGTGATCAAATATTTATGTACTAGTGATATATGAGAGGCATGTGTCATTCTGGAAGGAATGTCTCACTGGTTAGGTAACATTTAAAAACAGCATCATTTTTTAAAGCTTTCAATCCAAGAGTTCAGGTCTCCTGTTCACGCCCACTCTATCAGCTATTTGCATGGCTTTGACTTTGATATTTGATGGCTCTTGGCCATAGTCAACTTTTCCATAAAGAGAAGGCATTTGGCAGCATGATTGGAAATGAAATAAAAGAAATATGGGGAGCAAAAATGAAAGGATGACCTTCCGAGATTATGGCCTAAAGGATTTGGTGGGTGAGAAATCTTAGAACAAGTACCACCTTGGATTACACAGAGGAGCTCACTGTTATTTTAACAGGACTCACAGGGAACTTGAAAAGTCATTTTAGCTTCCCTCTTTTCCCCGGGAGAAAGGGAATGAAGAAGACTAGAAAATGAAAAGATTTTTTTAAAAAGCAAAAAGACAAACAAAACCTGTGTTTCCAATGAGACATGAAAGCACTTTGTAAACAGTCATTAAGCACATAAATGAGATCAGGAGGCTAGAGGTGCAGGAATCAGTGCTAGAGAGCTTGTGGAGCTTGCTCAGGCAGAGTCCTTGGCTCCAACTCACAAAAAGGGGGGAAACACCACAAGAAGTCTCAACTTTATGAAGTATGAAACCAGGATTAGCTGTTCTTAGTTGTTACACATGAACAGTGTTTGTGAAGTAGTTAGATATATTACTATATTGATATTTATATGAGCGAGATAAAGAAATGACTTTTTTTTTCTTTCTCCTTTTTTTACTGAGATTGAACTCAGGGCCTTCAGACTGAGATACATCCCAGCCCTTCCTTCCTTCCTTCCTTCCTTCCTTCCTTTCTTTCTTTCTTTCTTTCTTTCTTCTTTCTTTCTTTTTCTTTATTTATTTTGAGACAGGATCTCCTCAAGTCCTTAAACTACCCAGGCTGGGCTCGAACTTAGGGTCCTGCCTCCCTCTCCCAGAGTGCTGGGACTACAGGCCTATGCCACCACAGTGGCCAAGCAAGCAATTCTGAATTGAGGTCCTTAAAAGCAGCAACTATTTTTTAAATTTCCCTTATGTTTACAGTATTTGCATAATGCCAGACACTTTTAGACACTTAATAGATATTTCTCTAATGAATTGTTGAATAAGCACTCAGTTACCTAGTATTAATTTTCTGGAAAATTGGAAGTACCTTTAAACAATGTCTTTTATTTTTAGTATATGTGCTGCCGAAGCGAGCACTAAGTCTTTTATTTTTAATTGAACATTTAATGAAAAATTTTTCTATTATGATTTTCATAGTATACTTGTCATTCTCAGAGTATATGAAAATCAACGAGTATGGAGAAATCTATCAATACTGCATTCTACACTTGTGAAAGTACCTGAAGAAAATAGTAAAAATCCCTTTAAGAAAAATGTTGAAAGGAGATGAAAGTATTTTAGGTAATTGAGGTGATTTAAGCACTTAAATGCAAAATAACTCACATTTCCAAAGAGCAGTCAGAGGTAAATGACAAGGCTTTGAATAGTAGTTGCTATAGTAGCAAAAGAAATATTTAGTCTATCCATCAAAGTGCTGCCACCACACCTTAATGTCTACTTTGGGTT